TAATTTAATTTAATTTAATTTAATTTAATTTAATTTAATTTAATTTAATTTAATTTAATTTAATTTAATTTAATTTAATTTAATTTAATTTAATTTAATTTAATTTAATTTAATTTATTATTTAATTTAATTATGTGCAGCCCAAACCAAATTTTCATCTTCTAATGTGGCCCAGGGAAGGTGAAAGTTTGGACACCCCTGATATAGGCTCTTAAAGGGATAACAGCCAAAAACCTTGCTGACTCATTCCCATGATTGCATCACTGCATCAGCTAGTCAGCTCTTAACCCTGACAGAGAGCATGAAATGATGCACATGAAATGATGCACAACCTAAGGAGCAGGCAGGGTTCAGAAGTGGCTACAGCACAATGGGTCACATCTAGGTTGTTTAACAAGTCATTGAAAGGCAGACCAAGTACACCCTACCTCTAGGCATGGCTTTCATCGAGTATGGAAAGGTATCTCAGTATTTCAACAAGCAATAAATCAATCCATTTGGAAGGACTTGCCTCTCCTGTCCCCTCAAGAAAATAGAACTCTTGAAACAGGCAACATTTCAAAGGGAGCTTTTATTGAGAGACAGTGATAGCAAGAAGAGCAAGGCAGGAATTATAATTTATGCTCAAAATCGTTAGGTTAAAAGTTAAGTTAAAATTCCCTCCCCTCTGTCCAATCTCAGGCAAGCTAATTCAACGGTGCAAAGTTGTTGTGAGAACTTTGAGTGAGAACGTGATAAAAAGTTGTTCTCAGGCACTGCTTGCTTATTCCATTGCAGCTGAGACAAACAGATGCCCCCAGGCTATCCTTCCCCCCTCCCATTCCCAAGAAGGTACATCAAAGTAGAGAAAAGAGCAGAAGCAGGAAAAGATCATAAATCTTTTTGATCTTTTGAATGGCAGCAAGCCAATAGGGGTGGAGGGACTTGACATGCTACCCTCCTAGGAGAAGGAGACTTCCACCTGGAAAGAGAAGAAAAAGGGAAAGAAAGAACGCAAATGTTTAGTTAGGTTTATCTGGGAATTGAACATGAAAGTTCTAGGGGCTCTGATACATTTCTTATGCACCCAATCATTCTCAGAGGAGGGAAGTTGCTTCCTTGCTACTAAGTATTGGGTCACTCATGGTGTCTCCTTGAGTAGAGGATTTCTTTATTCTGAAAATGCTGTTCACCCTCAACCATGATGGGTTGGGGCATCACACCTGTCTTGGATCTGAGCAGGGAGGTTATTTCAGATTTCAGGAGGCTACAGTGGAAGATAGGACGCACTTGTCTAAGTGTCCTAGGCAGCTGGAGTTCTACTGTGGTAGTATTTACAATGCATGTGATTGGGAATGGTTCTATGAATTTTGGCCCTAGTTTCTTTGAGGGCTGCAGGGACTGTAGAAACCAGGTAGATAGATAAACGTTATGTCACAGTTCCAAAAGAAGAGGCCACACTGTGAGCAGAATGGGTGTCTCTACTAGACTGTCAGCTTGGTACATGATGAACAGTACAAGTACTGGCTTCTACTAGCCAGCTGGCTATATGGACTCAGCACACTCCATCCTCCTGTTCCTGGTTGCTCCTAGATGGCTCCAGCAAGTCCTCTTCAGGCCTGGATGGCTTCTGAACTGACTTCAGCTGGCTCGCCTTCCTGGCTCCTCTTTCAGCACGAATCCCATCACCCAACACCCATATGTGCCCCCATGCATCCCCCTCCCCCTGCACAACTCCCTGCACAGAGTTGTGTGGCAACTCCGAAACGTCACCCTGTCTCAGACGTTGACACCTTATCCCCAACTTCAAAAGGCTTTGGCTCTACTCAATTTTTGTCTGCTTGTGCTTTGTATGGTGTTCTCACTTGTTCTAATGCTTCTAATACTGGCACCTGTTTTGCAATTGCTCTATCCACTCCTTCAGGGAAGTAATGGGAGGTTCCTCAGCTGGGAGTTCTGGCACTGGGTTGAAGTCTTGTCTGGTTGCTATATGCAACGGGGTGAACCCTGTGCTAGAATGGTCTGTAGGCAACGTCCGCAAAAGCAGGAGATCAGTCCAGTTATCTTGCTGATAGTTACTTTATGAAGCATCTGAGGTACAGTTCCAGAACCAAGTTCATTTGTTCTATTCCCCCCATTTGTTTGAGGATGATGTCTTCAACTCATTCCCTGGTTGGTCCACAGGAGGCTTCAATGTTTTACAAGTTACACTGTCTTTGCCTACCTAGGGTTTCTGGCCCTCATGAGTTTCACAGTGGCCTTTCTGGGTAGGAAATTGCCCAACAGATTTAATGAAATCAATACTCTTATCAGTCAAAGTGATTGGATTTGAATTACATTTAAAATATTTGTCAGGATTCTGGCAGTTGCCCTAATTAAATCATGAGCCTTGAGCCAAGCTTCAAAAACTTAAAAGGATTTACTAGGAGATGAGTTTTAGAGTTGCCAATATTGATGATCCAATTAAATAAGAGTTAGACTGGACAGAATACCACTAAGTCATTAAGAAAGGAAGACAATTTCCAATTATCGAAAACAATCTAGGTCCCCCATAGCTGAAACTTATCTCCATTGTGCAGTTTGGGAAACACCACTAGGATAGAGGACATGTGAAGCAGTTCAAGGAACTCTCAGAGGGTTTCAAAATCTAAAAGAGTGTGGTGATGGCAGCAAAAGCAGTTGATCCCGTAGAGATCTTGTCAGAGCAGTAAAAGAGTGTGCATCATGCATATCCTAATAGTAAGGGGACCAAGTAGATGATATCCCCCCCCCATGTTCTTTCCCAATCACAGTTGTCAAACTCACTGAAAGAAACACACAATTGTGGCTTCACAGAAAAGTTTTCCACTTGCCAAATACCAAGGATAGCAGTTATGGGGGCAATGTGGACATTTCTCTCTCCTGAGATTCATAAAACACTAGTAATTCTTACTTCATCTCAGTGGATTTCCAGAGATTAACCCTCTATAAGTCTAAAGAGCTTCCAGTGAAAACATGTTTATCCACATGCTCTGAATACTATAGCTGGATCCCTTTACAGTTGGAGCTTGGATCGATGGTTATACTGAAGCTTTAAAATCTCCACTTGGATCCTCTGAAGTCATCAGAGATCGCATTTCCTGTAACACCCTCCTTTGGCTTGCTCTCGGAAAAGAAATATCTTTCTGTGGCCCATGATTTGGCTATTAGCATTGCTATGGATCTTGCCTGAAGCCATCCAGATGGACCTGAGGCCAAACTGCTTCTGGAGGAGACCTTTCGAAGAGCAAAAAGACTATTACAGACCCGGAGATCTTATCATCGGTGGAAACCTTCCTCTCTCCATTACTGTAGTTCTACAGCTTCTTTTCCAAGAGCCTCCTGCTGATTGGGATGTCATGTCTCTGTAAGTGGTTTCTTGGTTGTCTTTTTTCTCAGGGCAATGTGGGAAGGGCAGTCTTGAATGTGGGACAGATTTACAATCCCACCCAGCCTCTGCTGGTGTAGAATTTTCCTAATTAGGACACATTGATTCTTCTTGATGATTCAATCTCTCTAAATTATCACTTGTGTACCAACTGACAGAAATGTCCTGCAGAGAGAGGGTTAGGGTTAGGGTTAATCGTAACCCTAACCCTAACTCTAACCTTTACCCTAACCCTGCCCCTATGTTATATATTTGGATTAAACTAATCTTCCCATCTCATTACCCTGATGATTTCTAACTCCATGCTTCATGCTTTCATTACATTCAACACAGAGAAGATCTGTTTTTTGTCCCACCAAGTCTGGCTTCACACCAATCGCCTGTTAATCCTGGGCACTTCTAGGTCAATGGAGCTTCTTGGAGAATCCCTAGCAGAAATACTTCCACACTCTGAGACACTAAAAGATTTTTTTTTCTAACTGGGGACCATCCAGATATATTGGCTTAATCATTGCTAGCCAGCAAAAATTAATCCGGTCAGGCATTCAATTTAGATCAATTTCATTGCATTTGTTGGATTTATAAAGTCACCAAATTCAAAAGGACTCTGAGAATATGATAATCAATCAATCAATCAATCAGAATAAAGCTGGATGTGACCTTGGAGGTCTTCTAGTCCAGCCCCCTGCTCAAGCAGGAGAGCTTATACCATTTCAGACAAGTGGCTGTCCGTTGTCTTCTTCAACCTCCAGTGTAGCACCCATAACTTCTGAAGGCAAGCCATTCCACTGCTTTATTGTTCTCACTAATAGAAAGTTTCTCCTTAATTCCACATTGCTTCACTCTATTAGTTTCCATCCATTATTTCTTGACCTCTTTGTGGTGCTTTGCAAAATAAGTTGACCCTGTCTTCTTTGTAGCAGCCCCTCAATTACTGGAAAACTACTATCAAGTCCTTCTCTTCCTTAAAGTAGACATACCCGATTCCTGAAACTGTTGTTCATATTTTGGTCTCAAGGCTTTTAACCTGGAGTTGTTGTTCTTAGCTGTTTTTCGCTGAACATTTTCCAAAGTCTCAAGATATTTTTTTGTAATGTGGTGACCAAAACTGGATGCAGTATTCCAGGTGTGGCCTTACTAAGGCTTTAGGTTTTATAAGGTTTTATAAGGTGTTAAGTGAAGGGTGCCAGATTGGGAAAAAGTGCTTGAGAACCTAGGGCAGAAGTTGTCACCCTGCAAAAATGTCCAAGACTTGATATAATGAAGTGCATAGTTTTATAAAGATAATAAGTCATCTTCTTAACTGGATCAAAAGGTTCATCTTGAAAAAAATCAATACTGATTTGAACTGAGCTCATACTGTAAATTTGTAAATGTCTTGTGTATCAACTCACAGAAATGTTCTGTGGATTGAGGGAGAGAAGGTTTTGTCACAACAATGTCGACAATAGCAGTAGGATCAACTGATTGACAGCAACCCTGTTTTCTGACAGCAATAAAATAAATTGTATTGATCTGTTTTATGATTAACTCCTAGAATCCTGATAATGCTTTTTAAACAAAAATCTCCCTCCTGCTCCTCTCTAATTTTTGTCTTCTAACACTTGCAACAAAGACCTATTCCCAAGAACTACCAACACATCCTGGCCTTGGCATTTGCCATCCGGGAGGTCAATAGAGACCCACAGCTTCTCCCCAACATCACCCTGGGCTTCCGCATCTATGAAGAGAACCAGTATGCAAGCATGACCGAAGATATCAGTCTCTCTCTGCTCTCCAGCTGGGGAAAAGTGTTTCCCAACTATAAGTGTGACACGCAGGACAATGTTCTCTCTGTCCTTGGGGGCCTCAACTCCAGAACTTCACACCAGATGTCAACCCTGTTTGGCAATTTCAAGATTTCTCAGGTACTTGGACAACATAATATAATGAAAGGGGGAATGGAGATGTAAAGCTGTAGGTTCTGCCTTCTGTGGTAATCACCAACTACCTGCAGAGCCAATTATGTGACTGGTAGAAAACATCTCATGAAGATACAAGGTTGTGGGGACAAAAGTCTAGAATAGGATAGGCTGCTAGTCTAGATGGTCTGAGGTTTATTAAAAAACACAGGTACATTGTTCCTTTACTTCTTTCTTTTCCTCCATCTCCACCCTTCTCTCAGCTAGGTTATCGCTTCTCTGACCCTGTTTTGAGGGATAAGAGCCAGTTCCCCACCTTCTACCAGATCGATCCCCAGTATCACCTACAGAATGCAGCCATTGTCCAACTCTTTCTCTATTTCCAGTGGAACTGGATTGGGGTGGTTGTCCAGAAGTCACAGAGCAGTGACCATTTCATCCGGATTTTTGAAGCCACCCTTGCCCAGAATGACATTTGCATACACTTTGTAAAACAGATCTTGCCCCGAATCTCAATATTGAATATATTGCATAGAGATCAAATATATGTGCTTTTGACCATTATGAACAGTGATGCTCAAGTTGTGATTATTTCTGGGGATTCAAATTCCCTGCAAAGCCTTTTAATAGCCCTCTCCTGTTATGAAGAAGATACCCAAACTACTTTTGGGAAGGTCTGGATCCTGACCACCCAATGGGAGTTTTCAGCTATTGGCTATCACTATGAATGGGAGAAATTAAAATCTTTCCATGGTGCTTTGTCTATCACGGTTCACACAAGCCCAGTGCCAGGATTCAAAGACTATCTCTGGGCTCTGAATCCACACGAACCCCATGGAGATGTCTTTCTTCCAGAATGGTGGGAAGTTGTATTTGACTGTGAAGTTTTGAAGGCAGGTGTGGGCTCACCTGATGGCCGAAGGGTTTGCACAGGGGAGGAGAACCTGGACACCCTCCCGTACTCCGTCTTTAATGGAAAGATGCCTGGTTTCAGCTACAGCGTCTACAATGCTGCCTATTCTGTAGCACACGCATTGCATGCTGCATATACGTGGGAATCACAACGGGCATTGAAGAGGGGCAGAGAGAAGCCACACCTTAACCTCTCTGTGAAACCCTGGCAGGTAACATCTCCTTCCGTTCTGGCCAGGGAATCCTTCCTTCTCTTGGTTACCTTCACTTTGCACTGCTTTAGGATTTATTCACTTTTTCTTGTGATCTCCACTATCTTGTCTAAGTACTTTTTATTCACTTTTATTTAAATCTCATATCTTAAAAGTTACAGAAATTTATTGTCAAAAGAAGTTCCATATGGGAAACAATAAACAAGAATAGGAAACAAAATATAGAGTGAGAAATTTATTTTATTTGTTCATTTATTAAATTTGTTCACTGTCCATCTGGATACAGGGCATAAATGAAATAAAAGCCTCATTTGAACATTTGGGGAGAAAAAAATCAACCCTCATAATTAATGAGTCCTGAATGCTAGTGCTCTATGTTGTCGACTTAGAAGCTCACTCCCTAACTATTATAAGTATATATAATGATTTATGAGATGATAAATATTTAAGGGAAAAGTATATTTTGTTCAGTTTTTAGATGGATCACTTTCCAAAATTGAGAAGTTTTGGACTTTCCAGAAAATGGTTTGCTGAACAGTGCGGTGATTTTTTTTTTCTCCTGACAACAACCAAAGCTGACTTTGCTGCCAAAACCAGATGTTTGGTAGCATGCTTCCTGGGTTTTGAATGGGAGTAACATGGAATAACCTACAATGACCCTTGGATGACTTTGTACTTGCCTGAGAGGAGAATCCAACAGTGAATCCCAATAAATGTAGCTGGAGGGTTTGGTTTTCATCTTTATATCTGTCCTTCAGTTTTTTGTTTTCACTCTGGAAATAAAATTTTATTTCCAAATAAAACAAAAAAGCTAAATTCTGCAGCTTCTTAATATTGCCATCCAAAATTGGCAATATTTTTTTTCCTGGGCAGTAATTTCCTTGACAGTGAACATCTAACCCTCCAGAAGTTGAAACGGACTCAATTTAGAATTCTAATGCAATGACAGATCCTATTTTACAAACCAAATTGTACCTGTCTCATTTCAAGTTAGGCATATTTCTCTCCCTCCAAACTTCCATTTGTGGGGAAAAATAATTTGTCCACTCATTCATCCAAGATTATTCCCTCCCTCAAGTAACAGCACACTTGCTATTGTGGTTCTGCAGCAGGTAATAATAAACTAAAAGGAATAAATATGATGCCCAGTTGTTGCTACAGATGTGCTTCTTGCCCAGAAGGGACCATCTCTAATCAAACAGGCAAGTTGCTCAAGGAGACCCTCTAGCCGGAATGAGGAGGTAGAGGAGAAAAAGAGAACGAGGTAATAAATCAGTTGAGCAATGTAACCCTGCATTTATGACCAATTTGTAGCTTTAAAAACAAAGGAAGATTAAGTGGATTCTACCCTGGCAAAGATCATGTTTTTCCTGAATGTAGGACTCAATAAATAATGAACCAGCAAACACATTTAACCAGGGCTGGGATTCTACCAGTTCGGACTGTTTCAGGCGAATCTGATGTTAAATTTGGTATCTGACTCACCGAACCAATATTTGAACTGACCAGCTGGCCCTGCCCACCCTGCCCCTCCCATCCCAGGAGTTTCCACATGGCCCATTTTCAAGGGAGGGGGGAAAATGGGCCTTCCGGAAGTATTGGAAGTCCAGAAACAGGCCTGTTTCTGGCTTCCGGAGGGCCTCTAGAGCCTGGGAGAGGCCGTTTTCATCCTCCCAGAGGCCCGAGGGAAGCCTCTGGATCCTTGGGAAGGTAAAAAATGCCCCCCCCAGAAGTTCCTGTAGGCCATACCCACCCAGCAATTGGACAGCGAACCGGTTGCTGGGATTTTTGAATCCTACCTTCATTTAACCCTATAGTCAAATGTTCTTTGCTCTATCAGTCAGAAAGATGGCATTGCTTTTCGGCATTTTGTCCCTTGCCAGGGTCATCTGCTAAAAGAAAAAAAAATAAACACGGCCATCTTCCATTAGGGATGGGAAAGTTACAAACAGCTTATGATAGTTTCAGGGGTTTGCACAGTAGACCAGGGGTCACCAACCTTTTGGACCTCAGGTACCATCAAACTCATAATTTTAAATCCCAGGGACCATTAATATGAATTTTGACTGACGGTGGTTTGCTGAGGTTGGTTGGAGAGAGAGAGAGAGATCTGATCTAACCCCTCTCTCTCCCTCTCTCCTTCTCTCTCTCTCTCACACACACACACAAACACACAGAGGCAGGGATGGGATTCATTCAGAGATCTATCTATCTGCCATCGGCTAGCTGAGTCCAGGGTTGCCAGATCGCAGCTTGGCTCTGCGGCCAAACTCAAGTCAAAATTATTTTCTCTCATGGCCAAATTTTCCGGCCAATTTTTTTTTAATGCAATATAACATGAGGATATATTGTTTTTTGTTTTTTTAACTGTTTTTAAATAATCAAATCATAAAAAATAGTCAATCAGGGGACTCAGGATCGTGTGCAGCACTCACCCATCTCCTCTGGCACCTCCCACCCGCGCTCTGCTTTGCGCCTGCCTCTCCTCCTGCTGCTCGCTGGCTCGTATTCTCTCTCTCCCCAAGCGGCACCCCTTGCACGAAGGTTGGGGTGGGGTGGGGTGGTTCTCACGGGGCACGTCCAAGGTGCAGTTCCGGGCAGAGGGGAAAGGGAGCGAGAGCGAGAGCGAGAGAGAGGCGTGTGAACCGAAAGCTGGAGTGGGGTGGAATGAAGGGGCTCAGATCCTGATCCAGACCCCTCGTGGGAGCCCCCAAAAGCAGCCCTGCACTTGTCCGGGGTGCCAGAGGGGCACCAGGGCCATGGCTCGGTGGCACCAGTGGAGCTGTCAGCCAGGGGAGGATGAGGGTGCGCGTCGAAAGGCAGAGGCGAAGGTAGTCGCCGCCCGAAACAACCGGGAGAGGAGAAGAGAAGAGAGCGAAAGAGACGAGAATCCTAAAATACACAGGGCAGAATGTTGCTTTAGCCAAGCTACACAGTGAATATCTACTAAAAGTTTGACTGGTTTAATATGGACATATTCCGAGGTAATTGAAAGTCTTATTTCAGCTGGAAGAATTCTAGACAATGCTCTGCTTGCCAAGCACCTTCACAAAAGCAAAAAAATACACTGTGTTGTATTAGAGTATAGCGTTTTGCTTATCTTGAGTTTATCAATTAAGCACGCCCGTCTGTGTCCGTGCAAAAGCAAAAAATAGACCGCTCCGCCTCTCGCAGGGCAGGTCCCTATATAAACTCGCAAGATTTCGGGGTGTTTTTTTTCTTGTCCTCTGCAGTGCATGTATATATCCGGACCTACACTGTGTTGTCTTATTTCATGGCTTGTATCAGGTAGTACCACTAAAATAAAGTAATAAATAAAAATACAAAATTATGTGTATACCCACATTTATAGATTATATGACAGGGAAACAACACAGTGTATTTTTTGCTTTTGTGGAGGTACTTGTCAAGCAGAGCATTGTCTAGAATTCTTCCAGCTGAAATAAAACTTTCAATTACCTGGGAATAAATCCATATTAAACCAGTCAAACTTTTAGTAGATATTCACTGTGTAGCTTGGCTAAAGCAACATTCTGTCCTGTGTGTTTTAGGATTCTTGTCTCTTTCGCTCTCTTCTCTTCTCCTCTCCCGGTTGTTTCAGGTGGCGACTGCCTTCGCCTCTGCCCAGCGCCTTTCATTGCGCACCCTCATCCTCCCCCGGTTGACAGCTCTGCCGCCGTCACCGCCACCAAGCCATGGCCCCGGCGCCCCTCCGGCACCCCGGACAAGCGCAGGGCTGCTTTTGGGGGCTCCTGCGAGGGGTCTGGATCGGGATCTGAGCCCCTTCATTCCACCCCACTCCAGCTTTTGGCTCACACTCCTCTCTCTCGCTCCCTTTCCCCAGGCGGAAAGAGGGGCTTCATGGCGGAGCCGCTGAGGCGAACTTTCTCCCCACCCCACGTTCCTTTCTCCCTCAGGCCTCCGACTGGGGCTGCTGAGAGCAGACTTCCCTCGCCCATAGGCTGCTGCGAGATTTCCCCCCACCCCCCGGGGATGAGGTCAGACCCTCCATTTAGCCCCAAATTGGGGCTGGTGGGGGCAGAACTGAATGAAAACCGGTATTCGGCCAAAATTCCGATTTCATGGCCAAGCAACTTTCGTGCGGCCAAATTTCCGGCCAAATATATTTGGCTGGAGATATCATTTTTTTCATGGCCAAACAGATAGAAATATGGCCAGATTTCTCAAATTTGGCCGGAAAAACGGCCAGATGGCAACCCTGGCTGAGTCTGCACTGTTTAAGTCCAAAGGAAGGTCCGGTTCTGCTTAAAAGCAGAGACAAAGATCTAAAGATTAGCTAGAAAGCAAGAAATCCAACCATTTCTAGCTAATCTAAATCTCCCAGCACAGCTGATGGTCGGAAAAAGGAAAAATAGCAACTTAGCAGGCAAGTTTGCCAGGTAAGGAGTGAGTGGGTGGGGAGGGTTCCTGCGGGCCATGTGGGTGGCGCAGGCTTGTGTTCCCGTGCAGCCTGGATTAATTGCTTTGGGGGGTGCTCTGGGGGTGACATTTCTCTGCGGACCACAAAAATTTTCTCACGGACTACCAGTGGGCCACGGATCACCAGTTGGCAAACATTGCATTAGACTTTGAAAATACTCATAATGACATTGATCAAGCTTAATCGACCTACTAAAACACAGTTTTGAAAGATTAGGTTTACTATGAATCCAGGAGCCTTCTTGGCTCTGACCATCTTCCCCCAGGGTTATCTTTAAGGGTGCAAACCAGATGTTTCCACCTACAGCACAAGCAGAAGATACACATCCTTTGTTAGGAATATAAGTCACCTAACAGGTATTTGGGTTAGAAATATATAAACCAGGATAAACATTTTAAAACTTTATCTTTAAGAAAATGCAAAACTGTAATTGGGTGTGGTTACTCAAACGGCCATAAGATGAAGCCAGAAACCTGGGTTGTTTAGCCTTAGTATCAGAAGAGAGTGTGAGTGCATCTCTGTTTCCTTCTGTTGGAAAGTATTGCCGTTCCTCCATTTTTCCTAATTGACTGATATTCCTGGATTTGATGTAAGTCTGATACTGAACTGTTTTTGACACTGGGATTTGTTATTGGATTATCCCTGGATTGAAAACTGACTGATTTACTTGTGAATGACTTTGAACTGCTTATTTTGAACTTTGCTTAAAACCTTTATTGGAAGTAAAAACCAACATTTACGGTACAGTGTATCTGTGTGCTGTGTGTGTATTATTCACACTACTCTCTATACGTCTCCCTGTATGCACTCATTCTCTAATGGGGAATTACCTCAACATCCTTCACTCAACATTGGTCTCCTCTCCTGCCACTGCTATGCAGAGGCACGTGAAGAAAAATCAGTTGGCCATTTCACTTAAAGCCACAGTAGTCATGGAAGTTGCCAGTGACTGGTCTTTCTTTCCACGGAAAATTGACCAGACAAACTGGAGCTGAAAAGAATCTTATCTCTGGCTAACATATTCTCAGGGTCATCACCAATGAAGAAGGATTTTCTCTCTTTGATGTCCATAACGTGCTCAGTGGGATAGTCATGGTACAACTGAGAGGGATGATGGTTAAGGCAGATGCCTATGAAATCCTTAAGGACTTTCATCTTATTATTTTATCTTGATTTCAGATGCAGCTCGCTGTGACCCCTGCCCAGAAGACAAATACCCTAACAAGGACAAGAACCACTGCATTGCCAAGAAGACCCACTTCCTTGCCTATCAGGATACTATGGGATATGCTTTAGCTTTTCTCACACTTTCTCTTTCCATGATCACAATAGCAGTCCTGGTAATTTTCCTCAAACATCATGACACACCAATTGTCAAAGCCAACAACCGAGATCTCACCTACATTCTCCTGGTCTCCCTCCTGCTTTGCTTCCTCTCCTCCTTCCTCTTTATCGGACATCCCAGGAAGTTCACTTGTCAGTTCCGACAATTTGCCTTTGCCATTCTCTTTTCCCTCGCTGTTTCCTCTGTCTTGGCAAAAACTGTCATGGTAGTTTTGGCCTTCATGGCCACCAAGCCAGGGAACAAGTCAAGGAAGCTCTTAGGAAAACCACTGACCAACTTCATTGTCATAGCCTGTCCCCTGACCCAAGCAATTATTTGCACTATCTGGCTGGCAACCTTCCCTCCATTTCCAAACATGGACTTCCACTCCCTGGTAGGAGAGGCCATCTTGGAATGTAATGAAGGCTCAACTTCAATGTTTTACACTGTCCTGGCCTACCTGGGTTTCCTGGCCCTTGTGAGCTTCACGGTGGCCTTTCTGGCTAGGAAACTGCCTGACAGTTTTAATGAAGCCAAGTTCATTACTTTTAGCATGCTGGTCTTTTGCAGTGTTTGGATCACTTTCATCCCCACCTACCTAAGCACCAAAGGGAAGTCCATGGTGGCTGTGGAGATCTTCTCCATCTTGGCCTCTGGGGCTGGTCTCTTGGCTTGCATCTTTTTCCCCAAATGCTACATTATCCTATTGAGGCCCAATCTGAATTGCCGAGAGAACATAATGAGGCACAAAAATCACTGACATGCAAGGACTGTAAATTTTAATGTGAGTTTGGGACATTTTTGCATTTATTTATTTGATTTATTTGATTTGATTTGATTTGTCAATTGCTTACAAAATAATACAGATAATAAAGTTAACTATAAATACAGGAAATGGGTACGAATAATTGGGGGCAATAGTACAGGGATGATAGGCACAATTGTGCACTTTTGCATGCCCCTTACAGACCTCTTAGGAATGGGATGAGGTCACTAGTGGTTAGTTTGAGGAAAAAGGAATGTGGGTTTGGAGATGTAACAACAAAGTCAGGTAGTTCCACTCTGTTGCTGAAGTCATACTTTCTGCAATCAAGTTTGGAGTGGTTTGCATTAAGTTTATATCCATTGTGTGCTCTTGTATTATTGCAGTTGAAGCAGAAAAAGTCACTGACTGGTAATACTTTATGGCAGATAATTGTGTATACTATGTTTAAGTCAAACCATAGGTGGCGTAGTTCTAGGGTGTCCAAGTTCAAAATCTCAAGCCTGGTGGTGTAGGGTATTCTGTTGCAAAAAGAGGAGTGTAGTACTCTTCTTGTGAAATACTTCTGGTGTCAGGGTTCCAAAATTTGTCTGAATTAATCATTAACTTTGAGATAGGCATCATCTCAAGGTTCTTTATTAATACAGAAACTGGCATCAGCTGTAGAATTTCAGCACTGAAGACACACCCAAAACTTCACACAAAATCCAACCTACCCCCACCCCCTTTTCTATACCTCATAAACCACGTGAACCAATTACTTGCAGCTGAAAATTCTACTGTGACATACTTAATAACCTTTAACTTTTAAACTAATCTTTTTTTTCACCCTTCTAACAATATTTCCATTACATCACTCCCCCTCCTTCATCCTGTGCCAGCGATGAATTCCAGAGCTGACATCTGGACTTGCTCAATTGTATTAATGTCCAATATACAGTGCGAATTCCAGACAGCCGAGTTGTGTTCAAGTATTGGTCTAGCAAAGGTTTTGTATGCCCTAGTTAGTAATTCAGTATTACCAGAGGAGAAGCTTTTTAAGATTAGATTTACAACTTTTGAAGCTTATTTTGCAATGCTGTTGCAGTGAGCTCTGACGCTTAGGTTGTTAGATATGTTTTAATGGTCTTCAACAGTATTGCATCCAGTGAATAGAAATTGCCAATCAAGGGATGAGAGATCGTTATCTATAAGATCATAGTTGCCTTTTTTGAAGTTATAATTGGGGATCACATCGTTGTGTTGATTTTTGTGTGGACATATGTTGAGACAAAAGTCAATCATGTTGTGGTCACTGTTGGAAAAGGATTCTTTAATTTGTATTCTGTAAATTGAATTCAAACTATTGCAGAAGATTAGATCAAGGCAGTTGTTAAGTCTAGTGTTGTTGATTACTAGTTGTTCCAGTCCCAGGTTTGTTACAGCATTGTAGAAGGTTGTATGTATGGGTTCATTTTTACATTCGTTTAGGGTCCAGTTAATATGAGGTAGATTGAAGTCACCAAGAAAGATAAA